ATTCGAACCTACGACCTTTGGAATACTAGCCCAATGCTCTTCCAACTGAGCTACGCGGTCAGGACGGTTCGAGTAAGTGATATTTCGGAACAGAATCTAAGAGTTCCTTCGATACCAATGTATTCTAGTAATATGAATTTTTTCTGTGTTGGTGTAGTGGTATCGAAGGAACTAGATTCTGTTCCGAAATATCACTTACTCGAACCGTCCTGACCGCGTAGCTCAGTTGGAAGAGCATTGGGCTAGTATTCCAAAGGTCGTAGGTTCGAATCGAAAAATTTGCATGTTTGCGTTGAAAAAAAAGGCAGAAGGAAATGGAATTGGACGCTGATATTTGGTGATTTTGTTTATCTACAGACATACTTCCTGAATATACAATAAAAAGACAGCACAATTTTCCATCGCAGTGGCACTTTAAACTATAGCACTGTATTGTGTAATTGGTTACACGGTAACGTTTTGTTAATGTTACTTATTTTTGAAAGACATTCTGTAGCTATCCTTATCACTATGTAAGTGCTTCAGACTTCAGTTATTATTAATAAGTGTTAGTCAAGCTAGAGTGGACATGTACAGGAATATTCGAACGGAAATTTACACACTTTTTAAGACCTACTCATTTGTGTGTGAGAAGGCAAAAATCTATGTCTATGTGCTTCAGGTAGTCTAGCAACTATTTGCCACGTTTACTGTAATACTACTCATTCGTATTTTATAAAGTATGATGACTATGAGAGTTTTCGTGTTCACTATGGCTGAAATCCGCTGAATACATTCATGAAAAGCTAAAACTGACACCGGACAAAATACATTGCAAACACAGCCTATTTATAGGCAGGCGCTAAACGGGTGTAAACTACTATGCAAAGATGAACAATACCGGCATTAGTATTTTTGCGCAAGTGAATAAATATATAACAAATCCTACAAGTTGTCAACTGTCAAGACAAATTCCCCGATTATCACGGCCTCGCCTTCGGCGAATAATTCAGTTAAAGAGATACATAATACAGTCAATAGGCGCAATAATAATCGCGTGTAGTTTATACTTATAGTTTCTCAATATTTTGTATTTGCCAAGATACTTTTGTCATAATTGTTTCTATAAATCTGTTATCTATATGATAAAGAAGAAGTTCTGCAGTATAAACTGTACTATACATGCTATACTAATACAAATATTATAATAAAATTTAAATATGAAATCAAAAATATTACTGAGATAATCCTGTTATCCTACAAGGCTATAGTATATCTGAAGTTGCACTGGTATACCTATATAACTGATAGTATTTTTTACCTTGAATAATATATCATGCACATGTATGCAGTGTATACGTAGCACGCTTTTCAGCAGCAAATTTTCGTTCTCTGTTTAGATTTTACGAAATTATACGAAAATCTTAAAAATAATTAAGCACGCTTTTCAGCAGCAAATGTTCGTTCTCTGTTTAGATTTTACGATTTTACGATTTTACGAAATTATACGAAAATCTTAAAAATAATTATAATTATACGAAAATCTTAAAAATAATATAATTTCAAAATCGAAAGTCCAAAATCGAAAGTCCAAAGTCCAAAGTCCAAAGTCCATAGTCCAAAATCGAAAGTAATTATAATTATACGAAAATCTTAAAAATAATATAATTTCAAAATCGAAAGTCCAAAATCGAAAGTCCAAAGTCCATAGTCCAAAGTCCAAAGTCCAGTCCAAAGTCCAGTCCAGTGTTTACAATATGCCCTGGAATCCAGGGTAACTAGTGTTTACAATATGCCCTGGAATCCAGGGTAACTAGTGTTAAGCTTTCGTTTGTTCTCACACCGAGAAAGTGCCTATGAAGTATATATCGGGTGAGGTATTATAAATTGGGACGTAAGTCCTGTTCCACATTTCAGTCACGTGTGTTGTCTTGTAGCTTGTTATGTATATTGTTTATCAGTGTCATTGTAAATATTTGTGACAAATTTAATAATAATAATAATAATATAGCCTTGCGAAGTTTGCAATTTTCAGTCATTTTGTATTACGCATGGGAAACAAAATGACTGAAAATTGCAAATTTCGCAAGGCTATATTATCCGCATTTTACAATATTTCGCAACGAAACTTCGGAATATTACTAATTTTGTGATGCTCTTTCAAGCTGTGATGAAATTTTTGTCTAGACCTGTCTAGATAAAAAATTTTAGTTATAAGGGGAAAGGTCCTATTTTTTTACCACCGGGAGATCACAGACACAGGTCTATATACCGGAAGACTCCCGGCTATGTCGGGCAAGTGGGCAGGTCTGTAAATGTTTCCATTATAAAATACAGTATTCCCTGTTATGTTACGCGGTTCAAATTGTTTGTAAACAACTTTGAGTTTTGGGGTTCTTTATTGATGTATATGCTTTTTATGCTTTATATAAAAAAGTTTGGAAGGATTTTCAAAATATTTTGGTGATAATTAATATTCCAAACTTAGAGCCACAAAATTATTATAATCCCGCTATAGTCTAGCGCAATTAAATTCATTTTCTTTTTCAAACTTTGCTGTTGCTGGTCATTCACGACCACTGTTCACGACACAGTTTTCAATTGTGATGGTTTGTTGTTTCTTTTAGTTTGTACCTCTAGCTCATTTTGGTCCAATATTCTTCTTAGGTATTACTAATACGGTTTAAAGTTATTTTGTTTACATTTGCTATTTTTAGCAGTTTGCGTGAGTCATAAAATGGACATATTAATTTTGAAAACTGGTTTAAACTGCCTAAATAAATTTTTTTATCTAAGACAACTTTAACTTATTTATTCGACTATCTCAAGGCAAAAGCTAGACAAAAATAAATAGGATTCTATTAAACTAGGCACTTAAATGACTCCAACTATGCAATGTTTATAGAAAATGTATGGCGGTTATGGTAGAAGGGGTGGTTTCCCCCGAAGAGGGTATCCTGGTGGCTACTACAGATCTTATAACGAAACTGGATGCATGTTTTGCACGGGAGTTTCTGAAAGTCAACAGTCACACCAACGCCATCAATGCCCTGACTTTCGCCAGCTGAAACAGAAAACGTCGGATAAACCGTACGTCAAGGCAAAATTGAGCGACGAAGACGAGCAGGGTTTTGCTGCTGCTGGCTTTCTGCTGTGGAAGAAAGGAAACAAGAATAATCTGCAAGTCTTAATGGCGCGAGAATATCGCCATGAAAGCGATCTTTTAAATTTCCTTGGTGGAAAACGGTTAAGAAAATCGGAGAGTGCAATCGAGGTTGCATTAAAGAAAGTCAATATGGAGAGTGGACGGCAGCTTTCTCGGGACTGCCTCGTAAGGTATGAAACATGCACCACTTGTGCATTGGAGCGGTAGATCGGCTTCGAAATACGCCCTGTTCCTTTATGAAGTCACATCGTGGCGAGATTGCGAGGTTGATGTTCTAGCTGCAGGTTTGAGACAAGAAGGGGTAAAAAGACTTGAGTGGGTTTCTTGTCAAGAATTAAAGTCGACCTCATTGCACTGTGAGCTGCACGATTTTGCCAAAGAAATGGTTCAAGCGTTGTCTGATCCGACCTGTGACGTCCTTGCTAACATAGAAGAGTTATTTGAGACAGCAAAGACGGCTGGCGAAGCAAGCAAGGTGAAGGATGATACCCAAGAAAAAACTCAATTTGATTTTAATGTCATTGCTGCCCTAACATCATCCGCCAACTTGGCAAAGGGCTTTTCGACCACCGGTAATCTAACCTGGGGTAACATAACTGACGCTGTCAAATCGCTGCATAATAATGATATACGTAAATTGCGACTAAAGTATCATCCAGACCGTTTGGGCAGGCAGTTAGGACGAGACCCCACCGAACTTGAAAAGAAAGCTTCCACTAAGGCAACACAAATCCTAAACCGAATATTGGATATGGTCAAAGACCCAAGCCAGGCACCATCACGTTCATCTTCAAGTGGTGATGTTTTCACAACAATTAAAGAACTGAATGAACTTATTAAAAAATATCATGGTGGTGATGATGATGATTGTGATGACCAAATTGCGGCAGCTATCACAGCTAAACTTTCTGAAATAAAACTGAGATGAAAAGCGCGAGTATTAAATGATCTTAAATTGTACAATGGTGAAAAATGATTAACGTATTCACCTCATATTTTTATTCTTAACTTTTCTACAGATTATCGCGCCTGTTAATTATAAACCTTGGAGGTCCAATGGCAATGGGCAATGGCAATAATGTAGGTGGTATTCTTGAACGAACTATTTCCGTATTGGGGTCTACCAAAACTTAGAGTGAGATCTTTCAGTCCTTTTTAGGCAGTTCAACCAAATGCACATTTATTATATACTATGTTAATCATAATCAAACAATATTTAAACACTCATAACTTTCGAAACAACATACTGATGACATGATGCCACTGATTCGCGAACGTATTACTTTTCTATTTCTTAGTATCCTTAATTCTAAATTCTGTGAATCAACTATTAAAATGGACCAGATGCAATTTTTGACTCATTTCAGTGGCGTGCTGGCAGGGGGGCCGGGGGTGCCACGCCCCCCCCCAGCTGGCAATTATTGCAGGGCGCAAAAATGAAAAGGGGGCGCCGATCCCGCGCCGAGTTTTGAAAGTGGGTTGGAAAAAACGCATTCGAAAAAATATAGTTTCTTCCGCCGACTGAAAAGATGTGATTATAGGCAGTGGCGGAAAGTTTGTAGACAGTGCTCCTAAATTTCCGACAAAATTTCCGACATACCCCCCCCCCCCATTTGCACTCGAAAAGACTGTTTTTAGCCCCCCACCAAGATTTCCGCCACTGTTTATAGGCTTATAAACAGACTAAGCGCATAGGCGACAAAGTGATATATTAAATTATACAGACTATTTTGTCTAACCGTATTTGCTAATTTGCTACCTCACGGCTCACACAAAATCGTTCATATAGAAACGTGAACTGTGATCACACGCAATGTCTCATCACCGAAAAATAGGCCAGGTTTCGAAGCGATCACGGGAATCATGCCCTTTTTTTCTGGTATTATGCCCTTTATTATGCTTCATGAATCACAAGAGCGGCGCAAATTAGATAGTTTAAGTTATGATAATGTAAAGTTGTGTACGCAATTTAGTTGTTTGCGCTAGAAACATCATGAGTAATGTGAGTAATGAAATAATGCTGAAACGCGCCCTTTTAGCAGCAAGGCAGGGAAACCTTAAAATGCATATGCGTGGGGTTCGTGTGTTATTGTATAAAAGAGCTTTATGTTGTAATTGTATTCAGATCACTAGATCAGTAGAGAATAGAATTGGGATTAGATTAATCGCTGGAAGTTGTTAGCATTGCATAATATAAGTACTACTACTACTAATACTACTAAATTCATACCAAATTGCAAATTTCGACACGTTATAGTGCCGTTTCCTGACCATCAGATTTCTGTCAAATCTTCCCCCAAAGTCCAGGAAATGGCATTTCAGAGACTCTAAATTCAAAAATTTTCCCCGGACCCCCCTAAACAAACTTCGCACCTGCGGCGCTCGGCTCGTGCCTTCGGCCCTCGTTTATCAGGCGAAACATTATAGGGGCGCATATTTGTTGGTAGCCCACTGCCCCCCCCCCCAGAAAAATAGTACTCCGCACGCCACTGCTCACTTTACAAGTATTTGACAATTTTACGAGTATTTTTAGAATGTTGAACGGTTTCAAGCAATCAGTATATTTCATAGGAACTAGTTATTCAACGAATATTTAAGGCAAGAATTCAACGCGAAAGTTTATTGCGACATATTACCGTATTATCCAGAACACGAATGGCACGATATGTTCTGATTTCCGTTAAGGCGTTATGTTTTGCTGGATAGCGATTTCCATTGCATGTAAGTTTTTCCGAAAAATACAACGGAAAACTTCCGATCTGGAGTGCAGCACTCACAAAACAACTGAAGAATAATACTGGAATAGATTTAAAAACACTGGAATTATATCAAGTCTCTTAGAACTAGTAGTCTAATTATAGTTTGTTTTTTTTATTCGACATTTTGTCATTTATAATATTTTTACCTCCGGCTCCGTATTTTTATCCTCAGTAAGATATAATTGTAAAGTTATATATTAATTATTGTAAAATCATGTAATTCAACCTCCGGGCTGCGAGATGATTTGATTTTAATAAACCGTTTAATAATAATAATAATAATAAAGAAATACGCGTATGGTACGTTTCTTCACGATGGAAAACAGTTTTCACTAGTTTTTTTTTTTGCAAACCATTAAATAGCTTCAATTATCATATAACTCAAATCTGTCCTGTCCTGTCCATTCTTCACGTGACACTTAATACGACTGTATTTATGTAAATCTGTATGTACATTTTTTCTATTTAATACCAAATCTATTATATAATACTAGTATTGACTGTAATGTAGAGTGTAGACTTGCACACTCAGAAATATTATGCAGATTTCAAATTTGTTCGGCCATGGTTTAATGTTTAACATATTAGCTTTAGATTTTTGGTTCATTTTTATCTTTTGTTTGCTGTATTAATCAAGCTAATGAGTAATGTTATGTAAATCTGTATGTTCATTTTTTCTATTTATACTAGTACTGGACTATAATAGACTTGCACAACATCTGAGGGCATTGTCAACAAAGCTTGTACAATATTTTTTCTGATTAGTGGATAAGACATTGGCTTAATCAGGACAAGTTATTTTGATCAGTACCTGAAACACGTTTACTGTAGCTGCGCATAAAAATAAGCAGATGTACTGTGTTTAATTACATTAATAGCCCTTCCCAGGACATACTGTATAGAGTTTATCTAATGTTTGGGTTATAGTAATAGTATATTTATCAGCATTGTCAAATATGCCAATGAAATTCCCTTCTTATGATTCATTACCAGTGGCGTAGCCAGGGGGGGGGGGCGGCGTTCGCCCACCTAATGGTATTCAAAACCGTTCTCATGAAAAGTTTGAAGTCCGGCCAGATCAGTGTTTGGGGGAGGGGGCAGGTGAGGTAAGCAACGAGTCAAAACCAATTAATTCCACTCTTTGCATGAATTTTTTGGTAATCTGCCACTCTCTCTCTGCTCCCAGGATATATCTGCTAGAAATTTTGTGAATGTAGCATCAGTTCTTGCGCGGCAAATTCCAGAAAGGCCTTCGCTGAAAGCGAGTAGAGGTTCTTGCTATATTTTTCTGCAGTCAGTTTAATCCTACAACCCTTCAAGATGTACTGAACTCGGCAGGTTTGAGTTGTTTTAGCGCGGGCATGTGATATTGGGCTATTCCATTTAATATCCGTACCCCCCCCCCCTGTCGAGGATACATGTTTTTCATTGTCATACCCCTGAAGAATTCCAAGCTCAAAACTGTTTACCCCTGAAGAATTCCAAAATTCCAAGCTCAAAACTCTTTACCCCTGAAGAATTCCAAGCTCAAAACCTTTTACCCCTGAAGAATTCCAAGCTCAAAACCCTTCACCCCTAAAGAATTCCAAGCTCAAAACCCTTTACCCCTGAAGAATTTCAAGCTCAAAACCTTTTACCCCAGAAGAATTCCAAGCTCAAAACCCTTCACCCCTGAAGAATTCCAAGCTCTGAAAAATTTCAATCTCAAACCTCTTTACCCCTGAAGAATTCCAGGGATCCTCGACAGGGGGGGGGTACGGATATTAAATGGAATAGCCCATTTTCAAGTAGGGCCGTAGCTAGATAC